TTTTACCAAATCCTGCAGAGATCCAGTCTTTTCCCCCTCTGCCATTTTGCTGGCATACCTCTCCTTTTGGTCGGCAGTTAAAGCTGCTCCCAAAATCACACACACACAACTGCTTCACCTTTCCCCTTTTGTACCCTTTGTTCACTTAATACTGCATTTAGGTGTTGAACCACTGCCTTAGGACTCTACCATAATTTCCATTGGCTAGTTCTGTGCCCGGAGGAGTAGCCAGGTGATGCCGAGAAAACCTGGAAAAGAACTACTCACAGACTTGTATCTCTGAGTAGCAGGTATTTGTTTATTCAGCCCTGGGCACAAGGAGGATCGCTCCACCAAACTTGTGCAACCAGGGACAAAAACTTCATGGTTTTTATACATTAAGTGCTCATACATATTCATTATTTCCAGGGATGGGTGGTCATTATTATTACAATTAGTTCTCATAAATCATTGTCACCATCCCCTCCATCAGCTGGCACTTAATAGCTTTTTAGGGCCTACTTCTCCTATCTTGATTTATCTCTTCCCTTTGTTCACTCAGCTGGCACTTACTGGCTTTTTAAGGCCTACTTCTTCTTATCACAGGCATCATATTCTCTCAACATTTCCAAAATCGGGGATCAGTCAAGCACTGATGTTTCCCAGATGGTCTTGGTTTGCAACTGCTCAGAGCCCTCCTGGCTGTTAACAGCCAATACATCACATCCCAGCACTCCCTGCCTGAAACTCATGGGTAGAGTGGTGGTATCCCAAAGGGACCCCTTCAACCACAGCATCTTGTCAAGTATGTAAAAAATGTGATGACCTATCCTTATGGACATGCTCATGGGCAAAAGGAACAGCAAAAAAAATCATGGGGTCCACAAACAATCAGAAAGTTTTATTAGGAAATTACACACTTAGCATGGAACTTGGTATACTAGTCCCTGACCTCCTAGATAAGCACACAGCAGTGGGGTTTGGTTAAAGGGATAGGGCAAAGGAGAAAAGAGAGATTAAAAAGGGAGAGATGATTAAAGAAAGAAAAAGAGAAAAAGGAAAAAGAAAGACAGAAGTGAGAAAAAGAAAGAGGGAAAGGGAGTGGGGGAAAGGAGATTATCAGTCCTGGTTCCAGCATTGACCTGGCCAGTGGGATGTTGATCCAGCTTCAGTGTTGATCCAGCTGATAAGTGTCATCTGTGTGACAAGGTGTCAGGATCCAGGGGGAGGAGCAGCTATAGGCTTGGATGGGGTAACTTTTATGGACAGGTTCCTCTGCCCCTCAGATAAGTTTCTCACTTCTATAAGTTGTTCTTATCCCCAGGACCTATACCAAGGATGTTTGTTCCAGACAGGTGCTTCCCTAGCTACTTGTGTCCCCCCTTCTCCAGCCAAAACTTGCTCTTTCTCACAGTATATTATTACCAACAGTCCTTGGTTGGCTCCACAGGCATCCTGTTAACAGTTTTTGAGACACACACATTAGTCCCTTATTAGAAAACAGGAGCTTGTTAGACAGCACTAACTCCTGGGAATAGACAGTGTTTCTGATAAGCTCAAGAAAGGGTTAGTCCAGGTGCAGTTCATAAAGACTGAGGCCTAATGCATCTCTCTGGGCCTATACAAGGTTCCATCAGCTATACTGCTAGAGGACAGGCAAAGACTTCTGTGATAGTGAAGGGATGCCAGCACCATTCATTGCCAAAGCACAATTCCGCTAACAACCCAGTCTTTTTCCATTACAGTGAACAGGTGAGAATGCCTAGAAATTTCAGATTGTTGTTGAGATCATTAAATGACAAAATGAGGCTTTAGCAACTGTGAAATGACGATGCTTTGCAGCAAAGAGAAGAAAGGATTCAGAAAAATAACTGGATTAAGATTTTAGATGTGATACACAGTGAGCAACAGTGGAGGAACACAAGAAAAAGAATGGAGCAAGACAAGCAAGAACTATTTAGCATAATGGTTTTTAGCTTGGTATAACACCTGAACTCTTCCTGAAAAGGAAAATCTGTCTAGATTCTTAATAAGAAATATATATGAGGAATAATAAAATAATACTTATTTCTTTTTTACTATTCAATGTAGTATAAACCTGCAAAATAATGCAAAGAGATAATAAATGTATCTATTTGTTTGTTAAGGTCCAATAGGTTCTCCCTCAAGTATAAACCTAAACCTGGAAAGGGACCATGGGGGAAAATAAGTCATTAATACTGTTTGCTTTGTAAAATATTTTTTCCTAGGGAAAAGTTGTCTTTTGTCATGTTAAGAATTAATTAAATCATAAGAGATATGGTAAAATCAGCCAAAATGTGTTGGGCACTTTCCTAGATCAATAGGAAACAGCCAATAAAGTAGGAACCTACCTTGAAAGAAGAGCAGAATTTGCGTGTGTGTATGTCTCCCATTGATTTTGCATCTTAACACCTATGGACCTAGAGAAAAACACTGAAGACTGAAGGACTTTGGAAACTCTGTGGATGAACAAGAGCAGCAAAGAAAGAAGTGCAGAAGGAAGGAAATTCTTGAGATGAAAAAGATCTGAGAAGCAAGAGGGGTAGAGAAAATTGCCAGAAATATCAGGAATTTGAGGATAGTGAAGATTAATTAGGTAACGGTTGAGCAGAAGAGATCCCATTGTTGCTTTTATTTTTCTTTCTTTTTAAATTTGTCGTCTTTGAGATATCTCTCTCAGTGTGGTAGGTGGAGGAGAAAGCAGGAGGTAGGAGAATTGGTTTTGTGGAAGTTAAGGATTGTGGTATTCAAAAACTGAGGATTTGAATTTCTCTGCCTTTACTTCAGGAAAGATCATAAGAGACCTAAACTCAGGAAGTCCATAAAATAATTCAGAAAAGCAGTATTTCTTTTGTGTGCTGTGTTCTCTGTACACTTTTTGGTGCCTTCCTTGGTTTTCCGTGAAGTTGCTTTAGAAGTGTAACTCTTGAAGCATTTCCTCTTGTGTCAGTTAACTGTTAAACTCGAATTTTCTTGGTCTCCCTGTGGAGTCTTAGCAGGGATTTTTAATTGTGAACACTATGAAGTGATAAGAGTTCTGCCTGTTACTGAATTTTTGTCTCCTTGAGCACTATTTGAAATCCTCCACGTTAAAAAATATAACAGCTTTGAATGTGATTCTCTTTCACATATCATACCCTTCTAACTGGATTCATCACTTATTTATGGCACTCCAAAGAAGACTGGGTCATCTTCTATGCAATTAGCTGCCATTTTGTAAGGCACTGTCATTTGAGAAGAACGTAGAGTTCCTGGGTTTTTTTCCAGGAACATTGACTTGTAGGTTTTCCAAAATGAGTGCTTACTTGAATTTTGTCTGGCAGTTTTTTGCCAGTCAGGTTAATTTCAAATGCCAGAGATCATTTTCATGAAGTGATGAAGTGGATCTGAGAATCCATAAACAAAATGCTCATTACTTCTATCACAGTTGTTTCAGACTGCTCAGGCATAGCTAGGAATAAGCCTTTGAAACGTAACGAGGTACATCAGGTCAAAGCAAATTCTTACAGTCGTGTTATAAGCCATTGACAGCAATAATACAGCATATTACTAATGCAAACTAGTTTAGGAGAGCAGGATAGCAGTATGAACTTTCAATCTGATTTTTCACTTTTCTTTCCATCTTTCATTTTTTCTGAGCTTTACCAGAGCAGAACTTAAAGTGACAGAGAGCATGCAACTTTCTGAAGTACCCTGCTGTCATGCAACTTTTGATAAATATGGGTAATTTCTTCAGCTTTTGTGATGTCACGTAATTTTTAATTCCTCTCTTTTTACTGAAGGTGCAATGTCTAAAAGGTTAAAATTCAAAGTAGAAGCAATAAGCCTCTCCTTAAACTTCTTTAATCTTGCATCTGGAACTATTCTGAGGTCATTAGGCATATTTAATACTAAAATGTCTGTTGAGGCATTGAGCCATAAAAATTAGGTATTTTCAAACAACTCCTTTGTAGTCACTAAATTTAATTGGTTTGTAGTTAGGGAATGAAGCTTAACAGTATTTTCCAGACAGTTTTGTGCAAAAATGCATTCTTTTGCAACAAAGGGTCGTAAAACATTCTTTTCATTAGTATGATACATTTTATTTCTGTAATAATAATAAAAAATCACATTGTTGTATTCCTTTAAGTTAAGTTACGCAATAGTACTAAATATCTCCTTTGCCACTGTTTGAACATCCCAATCCATTTGCAATAGAAATGAAAAGGTTGCTGGGGGTGCAAAAGCTGGGGGTGCCGTGCTTATAGATGTAAACCCAGAAATTGTTGTGTACAATGTAAGATGATTTCACACACTACAGTAAAGATTAATCAGAGGTTGATATATAAAATATTTTAGTTATCCTTCATGCAAACTCTGGATACAATATAATTATATGCGGAGTAGTCACAATTAGAAATCTTAAAACACGATGTCATAGTTGCATGAATTCATTGGAAAAATGCTATCAGATTATAAAGAGGAATGTGGTAACTTCAGGGAACACAGATGTACCAGGTGATACCAATAAACAAAATCTACATAAAGTCAGCCAAGTTGCCTATCCCATTAGGAATTACTGAGTAATTATAGTAGGAAACTACTGGCACCCTATTTCAGTGGCGTTCATCAGGCAGACAAATATACCAATCTTGTTTATCATATTTCTGGTAGTGATTGGCAAGGTTCTCAATAAGTGTGTGTGCATGATTTGAAGCAAAGTTTGTATTTGTTATAGTGCACAAAAATACATATTGGGAAAAGATTTACTCCACACACAAATGCACAGAAACATAATCTCTTAACCATACTGTATCTGGAGTACTACTTAAAAGGCTAGAAAGGATTCATGCAAATCTTTCAGAAAAAAATGTTTTTAGAAACCATTCTGCTTGCACAGTGACTATTAGCTAAAATTCTGGAGTTCAGCATGCTATCAAGCAACTAAACATACTTAACCTAAATTGCTGTAATTTCATAGGAAAAATAGCAGAGAAGAAAATCAATCAATTAGTAAAAAGTTATCTAAATGAATAACTTTCATCATCATATTCTAGTTCATCTTCCTCATCATCCTCCAGAAGTCCATATTTAAATTTGTGATAAATTGTGCCATCCTGACCCATGTATACGATGTCATCTTCATCATCATCAGCTTCATTATCTCTATCTCTGTACTCAATCACTTGATCCTCCTGGTAAATGGGACTTGTGTGGTAGTTGCTCACATAGGAAGGAGAGGTTTTGGAGTGATTTGTCAGCTTCTCATACCCGCCTTTCTTGACACCCTTGGGTTTGGCTTGTGATCTTTTCCAGATGAATACAATGGCTCCAGAGACAAGGAGAAGCAAAATGCAAGTGATAACAAAGAAAGCAGTTTTGTTTTTTCTCTCAGGTGCTGGAGTGATCTGTAATACACAGTCATCTACAACAGCCGTTAAAAAAAAAAAAAAAGTTTAAATGAGCTTGTATGAATGTATTTGTGTGTGATATTTGTCTTTAAAAGCCTAGGAAAGTGTTTAGGACTATTTACATTTTAAAAAACATTCAACTTCTATTCAAGTACCACAACTACGTTTTTGCAGCTGTGATGCTGTAAGGATGTCAGCCACATTGTTGCAATATCTGTGCTTCTTTATTTGAATAGAAATAACCAGAAAGCAGAAAAACTAGCAGGCACACAAATGCAATGATTCAGATGACTATTCATTGAAGCAAGCAGTAGTTCCCAGTCACCTGTTTTATGACATGTCTGGCCATTAAACATTATTGCTGTGAGTGAAAGAATGTGCCATCTCCCACATCAGTTGCAATTGCTGCTGTTCATATAAATTCTTCCTGGTTCTTGTGATGGAGCAATAGAAATATACTGTGTGCCTAAAACTCAGCAGCACATTTTTATTCTATTCCCCTTTTTATTTTTAAATGTCCACCTAGTCATCCATAAAGCCCTTCAGCACCATTATTGCTCTTCAGCATGATCCTACCTTGTGTTTCACTGCAGTCACAGCATTCTGGGATGCCTTCTGGGTTAGAATGACTGCAGCAGGGCAGGCAGCGGCTTTCCTCCAGGTAGAGCTGCATTCCAGCTGGACAAACTGTGCAGTTGAGAGGGCCAGGTCCCTTGCACTCAGTGCATGAGCTGTCACATCTGTCACACTTGGGTTCATCCTCCTTTGAACACAGAACACAAGCAACGCACCTTTCATTTTGGATTTTTTTGGACCTGACCTGGCAGTTCTGTCCTGTCATTCACCAGCTGGATGGTCATGTCTGGTCTCTGGGCACAATCGGTGTCAATGGCAAATACAATAGGGAGTAACAGACCCAAAATATCCTATTTCTTAAGTGATCTTCTTGTAGGAAGATGGGGTAAAGTGTTATAGGAGCTTATAGGAGCTTATAGATCTTACCTAACTAGACAGAAGGATAAAATTTATTCACACTGTAAGCTCTTTGGACCAGAAATTGTGGTTTTGTTTTACTAGTCCCATGATAGCCAATCTGTGGTTCTTTAGCAGTAATGATGGTAAAGTGACCTTCAAGAAGCATACTCAAGAATATCATTTAAAATAACTAACATGAAGTGAGCAACATGAAACATTCTGGGGGCAAAAAAAAAGACAGCTGAGAGAGTGCATTTCCTTTCTAACTGGGCAAGGAGAAGAAGTAAGTAACAAAGCCAGCTGAAATTTTCTAGAAAACCAGATTTCTGCTAGATTGTGTAGGTTCTGCTATACAGAAATAAGCTTTGATTCTAATACTCTTCTCAAATTCCAGATAGGCTCCTGGGAGCTTCTGTTTACAAAGACTACCAGAGGTCAGTGTTGTTAGCCTGGCAGCATGCTCTGAGCCCAGGTGTTTCGGCGTTTGCAGGATTCACAATTCCTGGCCTATTGGGAAAAAAAAAGAGTTATTTTTCTGCCATGGGACTGAGGAGCCCATATCACTGTGAGGATCTGGAAACTCTAATAACCTTTCACCAAACTTGCAAGACATATTGTTTTGTATCGAAGAACCTATGCAAGATGGGATAGCAGATCATAATTTTTGAGTTTAAAATTTTGTTAAGATCTGCAGACCTCTGTAGTCCACAGCTCTTAGGTTGTTACCTCAGGGTCACTGTTACAGAGTAGCACTGCCAAAGGGGTATTCCAGCCCAGAGACGCCAGAGTATGCAGCATCTCAGGCCAGCTGGCAGCCTTGCTGCTATGTTCTTGAATAAACATCTTTGGAAGGCAGTTGTTGGAAACCTGGAAGCTAGAGTGCTTCATGCTTGTGGCACGGACCCAAACCTAGTTGTGGTTTTTCTCTACTAAATATGTGGCAATCTGTTAACTTCAGCCTGTCCTTCCACTAGAGGTTTATGCCAGTAAAGCTGTCAATCAAGATTGCAAAGTGATTTCTTCCAGAAAAAGCATCAGAAATCCATGGGGAAGTCTTAGTCATACTGGAAGGAAAAAACCTGCTGTATCACTAATGTAGCTGATTTTGTTTGTATGGCTTTGATGTCATTGTTGACTATAGAGGATTACTCTATATTCAGAAATCCCAGAAACAGAAATACTTCCTCTGCCAAGAGAACACAAAATGTAAGCATAAAGCTATGTACCCTTGAAAACTAAGTGGAGGGCAATCTGTTCTTTATATTGTTTTCAGTGTACAAATCACAGGAGAAAAATCCTACAAATAGATACCTCTTGTCCTGGTGTTGCCTGGACTTTGTATTCACCTACAAAACAGTCCGAGTTGCACATTCCACCTAATAAACTGTAGCTCCATACACAAGATGTGCATCTGAATGCTCCCTTCCCTAGAAAGGTAAATGAAACAATATTTAGACAAGAAAAATAGTCAGCTAACTTCCTTTAAAAATCCTACTGACCACTTCCACCGAAGAAAAGGGTATTTGTCAACAGCAAGAATCACCACTGAGGAGTACAGCACATGAACATTGGTATCATAAAGAGCTTGAGCCTAGTCTTGGGGTTTTATGTGTTGTCAAAATTTATTTCTTATGCATTTTGATATTCATGAAAATATGATTTGGGGAACAACTGTACAGGGAAGCTCTCACAAGTTCAGGAAAATCAGTTAGATCAGAGCACGGAAGTAAAATTGTGTAGAACCTTGGCCAAATGCTGTCCTTCACAAAATCCATACTTATCAGCTCTGCTGACTAACTGTTTTCAAACCACAATTAAGATATATTTATGTTTGAATAGAAAAATAAATTATTTCACCACATGAGAAAAAACATTCTTCACTAAGTGTAAACAGACCATCATATGCACCTTTTGTGTTGGAGACTCTTTTTGAAAACAGATGCTGCATGCAGTATTTCTGTGGAACAGTGAGGTGAAGGGTTTGTCTTGCATGTTAAGATGCACCTGCCCACTTCCCTGCACCTGGGCATTTCCTTCCACTGTCTGAAGGAAGAAAATGGAAATGCAAGTAGCTGACATTAGCAGTAGTTAAACAGCTGAAGGTAACAACCTTCTGTAACACAGAGAATTTACCATGTGATTTTACTGTGAAGTGCAGTAAAGACCTGCTCTTGAGAAACAAGAGACACCATAGCTCCTTGTTCACACATCAACAACCCAGATGCATTTCAGAACACCTAGAGTTTTTGCTGTTTAAAACAGTTGGCTGTGTTTCATATTAGTGTGTCTAATTATGATAGAAAAAATAGCTCATGTAGCATGGAGCAGTCAGGGCCAGGGAAAGCCCAGCAGGGGAGGTCTGCATCACTGAATCACAGAGGCAGGTTGGAAGGGACCACAGTGGGTCATTTGGTCCAACCTCCCTGCTGAAGCAGGGTGATTCCAGAGCATATAGCACAGAATTGTGTCCAGATGGTTCTTGAATACCTCCAGTGATGGAGGGACCTCTCTTGGCAGCCTGTTCCAGTGCATAGTGACTTGTACAGTGAAGAAGTTCTTCCTTGTGTTCAGGTGAAACTTCCTGTGCATAAGTTTCTGCGAATGACCTCTTGTTTCATTGCTTTGCACCACTGAGAAGAGCCTGGATCCAACTTCTTGGCATCCCTGCTTCAGATGTTTGCATACATTAATGAGGTCCCCTCTCAGTCATCTCTTCTTGAGTCTGAACAGGCCCATCTCCCTTAGCCTTTCCTCGTACGTTAGATACTCCAGACCCTTAATCATCTTTGTTGCCCTCCACTGGACCCACTCCAGAAGCTCCATGTCCCACTTGTATTGGGGAGCCCAGAACTGGACACAATACTCCAGATGTGGCCTAGTGAGGGCTCAGTAGAGGGGCAGGGTCACATCCCTTGACATGCTGGCAACAATTTTCCTAATCCCAGGATTCCATTGGCCTTCTTGGCCACAAGGGCACAATGCTGACTCACGGACAGTTTGTTGTCCACCAGGACGCCCAGGTACTTCTCTGCAGCCCAGCACCCAACCTATATTGGTGCTTCGGGCTATTCCTTCCCAGGTGCAGGACCCTGCACTTGCCCTTGTTGGATTTTGAATGGTTCTTCTCTGCCCATCTCTTCACAACCTGTCAAGGTCCCTCTGAATGGCAGCACAGCCCTCTAAGGTATTTGCAATTCCTCCCAGTTTTGTATCAACATCAAACTTGCTGAGGAGATACTCTGCCCCCTAGTCCAAGTCACTGCTGAACAAGTTAAACAGTACTGGGCCCAGTATAGAACCCTGGGGGACTTCACTAGTGATAGACCTCCAACTAGATTCTATGCCACTGATCACAGCTCTCTGCGATCTGCCTCTCAGCCAGTTCTTATATCTGCCTTTCTGCCCATTCATCTGATGCACACTTCTTAAGTTTTCCTAGGAGAGTGCTGAGGGACACAGTGTTGGGAGCCTTGCTGTACAAGGTAGAAAATATCCGGTGCTCTCCCTTCATCCATTCAGGGAGTTGTTTCATTGTAGAATGAAATCAGGTTGGTCAAATATGGCTTACCTTTAGTGAACCTATCCTGTCATCCATGTAGGCAAAGGTGGCCTCCAGTATGAGGTGTTACATTACCTTTCCAGGGAATGAGATGAGGCTGACAGACCAGTAGTTCCCTCGGTCCTCTTTCTTGCCCTATTTTGAAGATTGGAGTGACATCTGCCATCAGGCACCTATCCTGATCTCCATGACTTTTGTGAATGGTCTTTTTGAGAGTGGCTTTTATGTCTGTCAGCTCTCTCAACACTCATTGTGGCCAATGGACTTGTGGATGTCCAGTTTGTTTAGGTGTTCTGTGACCAAGGGAACATCTTCTTCTCCACCTTCATTTGCCCTGGTCTCCTGGATCAGAGACCCCTGTGGGCTGTTCTTATCAGTGAAGACTGATGCAAAGAAGGCATTCAATAACTCTACCTTCTCTGCATCCTCTGTTATCAGGGTCCCCTCTCCATTAACTGGTGTGTCTACATTATCTTTTGTTTTCCTTTTGGTATTTATGTCCTTGAAAAAACTTTTGTTATCCTTAATATCCCTGGCCAGATTTAATTCCAGGTTAATTCCTTGCCTTTCTAGTCTCATTTCTACTTAATCTGGCCATGTCTCTGTATTCACTCTAAGTGGCCTGACCCCGCTTCCACCTCCTGTGTATTTCTTGCTTAAGTTTCAGTAGATAGGAATTCTTGGCTCTTCCACAGAGGTTTCATGCACCCTTGGCTGAGTTTCTTTCTTGTTGGGATACATTGTTCTTGAGCCTGCAAGAAGTGAGCCTTAAATAACAACCAGCTGTCTTGGAACCCTCTTCCCTGCAAGGCCTGCTCCCATGGGATTTGTGCAAGAAGATCTCTAAACAGGCTAAGGTTTGCTCTCCCGAAGTCCATCATTGTAGCTGTAGTTTTAGTTGTTGTCCTAATCACCTACTGCAGCTACTTAGGATATGGACAGATTTGTAGCACTGTATGTGGAATGTGTCTTCGTGAAGTGTTTCCAAATAGTGGAGCAGAGAATTAAAGGGAAAAAGAAAAAGATAAGAGAGAGATTGCAGTTGTTTTGATAATTCTTGGCAGATGTTCTGATGACCCTTTTTTGCACAATGCAGATTGCATGCTTTTACCTTCACAAGTTAGACAGGAAGGGTGGCATCTCTCACAGACATTGTTGTCCTGGCTTTCATAGTAGTACTGAGGGCAAGAGCTAACACATTCATTCTTGGAGTGCAACAGGTAGAAATATGTGTCACAGGAAAGGCAGTCTGTGGGTTGAGGGCCCATACACTCCTTACAACTCTTGTGGCATCTTTCACATGATCCAGTGGAATTTTGAGCAAAATACCTGAAACAGAACAGATAGTCATAGCTTTGCATGAAGCCCATGAGGGAAAGGAAAACCGAAACATATTTAATCCTTAGCTTCTTACTATGATTACATCAATGGAAAAGAAAATGTTATTAAGGTGAGCACTGTAATTGTTTGCAATCTCAGTGAAAATAGAATTAATTTCTTTTAATTCTTCTTGGACACTATAATTCTGCTATAGAGCAAGACTTTGTCATTGAGGCTGTATAAGGCAGGACTTTCTAAAATCTAGGGTGAATTCAGACTCAAAGTGTATAGATAGGCACGGCTCAAAAAACCTCAACTCTGTTTTGAGTCTGCAAGAGTTATCCTGGAATTGTTGGCTAAGCTCTGAATTCCTCACTGTTCCTTGAAGACTTGCTGTCAAAGCTCAGAAGTTTCATATTTCCTTTCAGTGCAAAATCAGGCTTAGCCAAAGGATATCAGCAGAGGAACAGCATTCATGTAAGTTGTGCTGTCAGAAAAAAAGAATTGATGCGCTGTGATTTTGCTGAGATATGGTAATTGTAGTTTAATGGGATGATAAATTAAAAGCCAGTGTGGTTGTACTGTACTGCAAAATTAAAAGGACCCAAACCAGAAAACATAAGTCCACTTTCTAAATCTGAATTTCTGAAATATAGTCACAAAAGCACACTGAATTTACATTTTGAACTTAAACGGATTACTTACTGAAGTTTCTGTCCAGAATTGTGAGTGCTCGGTTGAAAGGTGTTTTAATGGCTGCCTTTATTATCATCCATTAAAAATATTCACTCAATGTAAAAAAAGATATAAAAGTAACCTCATCTGTACTTCAGGTTTAGTGACAATTTCAATGACGCTTGAATGAAGTAACATTGCTTCCTGTGCTCAAGATGACTAATAGATAACTTAGTATACTTATTCAGGTTCACACTGTTCTGTAAGAACATAGCCTGAGAGCATCCTTGGAGTGTAAGAATGGCCACACCACATCAAAACAGTCCCAATTTGCACACCAATTTAGAGTTTCCTACTGTGAGGAGAGGTTTTCCAATACCTTTGTACTGGGACAACACAAGAAATTTTCATCTGTGAACAGAACTCAGTTCTATTTCACACAGAAGTAGAATACTGCAGAGCAATCTGATTTCTCAAATTTCTCTCTGTGATGCAGCAATTAGCAAAAGATCTTACCCTGCTGGACACTGGTTTATGCATCCTTTTCCTTGTCTGTACCAACCCGGTTTGCAGGAAAGGCACTGTGAGCTGTGTTTTCCAGTGCAAGTGGCACAGACATCGTGGCATGGAGAACATTGCCCATCATCACTGTCAGCATAATAGCCATCTGGGCATGTTTCAACACAGGTTGTATCTGTTCAGACAACAATACAGAATAACACATTGTATTCAGTATTTACTACTACAGAACATCTCATATTTGTGCTAGAGCAAACTCTTTAACAGAAGATGCTGATTTAACATGCACAAGAAAAGAGAATGCTGGGGTATAGTAATTAATTTTTGATTGTTCCAAGTCATGTCAGTTCATTAGTCCTCATTGCTGTGTTTTATGGTTTTTAGCAGGCTCCTCAGAAAGAGGGTCTCCAGATAAGTTTTTATCTTTGGAACTATAAAATACACAGTACATAATAATGAACAGTAGATGTGATTTCCTTTAGAATAATAAAAAGAAGAAATTTTATCCTAATAATTAGGAAACTTTCTGTCTGCATTGCCATTTTCCTTAGGTTTCACTCTAAGCATCAATTTCATTGCATTCTGTGTATATGTTGAATCTGATGGTAAGTTAGAGATTCAATAACATTTGTTTACTGATCTTTACCCTTGTTTGTGGCTCCTACTTAAAATCATGGGATTAAATGTCTGTCATGCTACCAAGTGTAACAGGTAGATCCCACTTTTTTTCAATGAAATTTCTGTATTTATAATAGGAATGCTGAGTTAGAAGTTAGGACTGATGTAACTACCTGCAGGTGCATCAAGCCAAGAGAGCAGTAATTACTCATTAGTTGCTTGTACTTATTACACGGCAAAGGAAGATACTCCTTTCTGAGTTGGAATTTTTTTTGCATCTCTATCTCAACTCCAGGCTGTTTATTTATATCTTCCAGCAACATCACCAGTTGTAATTGTGCAAAGCAGCTGAGTGTGTTGATATAAACAACAGCTCTGATGCAGGGCTTCAGAAATTTATGAATGCAGAATCTTCAGACTTAGACTCAAGAAGCTTACTCAGTTTTAATTCACACTCCTTTTGGTTTTTTTCCTGTGTGAAAATAATTTAATAATTTTTTCTTCCACTGATTTCCTAAAATTTTTCTTTGTTTTAGAAGAGTATGCAAAGAAGAAACTTTTGCCAATCAGTTTCTGAGACACTAGTCTTCTTTTCCAAAGTCAGAAAAGTAGTTTTGCATTTCAGCCATCCACTAGATATTGACCTAGTGATTCATGAACAACTTTTTAAGAGCTCTGCTTAAGTATTTCTTTGCTTATCAAATCTTTGCAGGGATTAAACAAACAAACATGAAAACGTGAGTCCTTTGTGCATATATTAGCAAAAAAACCCCAAAACACACACATAGAAAAAGAAGCTAAGGATAGCACTCTCATCTTTTTAAGGTCCTTGTAGGAAACAACAGGAACAGTACACACCAAGTAAATGAAGCATACGAGTTTTGTTTAGCCATGGAGTTTGTTGTTACCTGTAAGTTCTGCTTTGGCCCCAATGAGTGGTAAGTCCTATCTCACCAGGAGTTTCCAGGTAGCCCAACACAAGAAATTCTCTCTGTACTAGTTATCTATTTGTCAGGTCAACATTATAATATTTAGATGGGTTGAAGCAGCCCTAGATATTTCATAAATGTGACAGAAACTTGCATATTCCATTCTTTCAGTGTAGAATGGAATTTAGAGGCATGAGTGAGACACTTACTGAGAAGATAGTGGTTATTCACACAGCTAAGACACAGATATTCAGTGGGTCCTGAGCAGCGGAAGCATTCCTTGTGACAAGACTTGCAGGTCTGAGTTTCCTCAATGTAGTACTCCGTGGGAGAGCAATATCCAGATGTCACACAGTGCCCACCATGTTTTAACATCTGCCCATTTCTGCAAGTAAGGCAGACAGTGGAAGACGAACAAGTCTGGCATGTCCTGTTGCATGCTGAAATGGAAAAACAGTAGGAATGTCACCATTTCTTGTTGCATCTCAGAAATACTATTACAGTTTTAATTCTGTCAGGAGCAGCCATTATCTCAGAAGGAAAGGGAAATTATTTTCGATCTTCTGCAGGCAGTTCCTTAGTTTTCCTTTTGCACTGGCACTGCTTTTCCTTCACAATGATTTTCTATATAAGGTCTCCAGAAATTCTCAGAATTTTACAGTGGTTGCCTGTAACATTAGACAGGTCTAGCTTTGCTACCTCCTTCTCAGCTTTCCTCAATTTTTACTGTTCTAAGATAAGACCTTTTATTGATCTGCATTAGCTTTGTCTTTCAATTTCAGGACACTGGTATCAACATTAGCCAGCGCATGTGGGCCCTATGGGGGTGACCTTTAAACAGACACACTTGTATCTCAGTATTGTTCTGGAGAAAAGAACAGCTGCCAACCTTGACAGTCCCCAGTGACCTCTTCATAGTAACTCCCTTCAGGGCACTCTTCAAAACACATGCCATTGTAGAGGACAAATGATCCTGTGGTGCATGCTGTACAGTCGTCAGAATGTGGCCCATTACAATCCTTGCAGTCAGCAT